ATTTTAAGAATAGTTTCCAAGTATTGCATTTGCAAAATATTTTGTAATAAAGAATCTTTGCTGATATTTGCAACTTTTTTCAGATAATTTAGAGATATTGAGTTGACCTAATGGAACAATAAAATCTATTATCTAAAACCAAACATACTTCTAAGAAGGCATACCTATTTTTTATATAAAACTAATTTTATAAGAACCTTTTAATGCTAATTTTACACATGTGAAGCTAGAAACTTCAGATCATACTCCCTACATAATATATTATTATATACAGGAAAAGTAAGCTACTGTTTAAAAAACTGCTTGGATACTATTGCATATTCAGAAATGTGAAAATAATCCCTACCAAAAGGGAGTATACACGTCCAAAAAAAACCCAATATGCATCTCAGATAAATAACGGTACATTCATCCTACTAGTTTGGCAATGCTCCAATACATATCCACTTCTTTCCTGTCTCTTCCTCTTCATAGGCTCAGATGAATGAATTGGTGCCTAGATGGATACTCTTACAGAACCAGAAAGGTCATCTATAGGGACTCTTTTGGGTGGTTGCTGTTTCCAAACATACTATGACACAGCCATGCGTAAACCAGTGATTGCTTGTCCTGATACAGATCCTTAGATGTTTTCCTTCCCATAATACAAATAGTGTTTAAAACATTATTTATGTTCAAGTGCAGAACACTTAACTTTTGTAATAGAATGACATGTATAGGGAAAAACAGATTACTACTATTGTGTACTAAGTAGATGACTAAATCAGGACCACCACATGGTCTAATGCAAATGCATTATAAATCTCATACTTCATATCAGCTAACCTTTATTACAGGTCTCATTGTAATATCTTTCACAGTATTCCATTAATATTAGTATAATAATGTTGATAACAACAATATTTTCAGTGGTACCAATATTTAACTTGTGATGATTGCAAAGACAATGAAATGAAAGAACAGCAGAAGATCAGAATATCATCCATCTGTCTATCTACCTCTCAAAACACTGGTTTCAAAAACTAAGAGGGGGCATATAAAAGCTTCTACGTATGCTCTTTTGTTTTTCCTTCAAATGAAAACAGTTTCACATACATATGTATATTACCAAATAATATCCTTTTCATAAGCAATGACTATCCACTGATAGAACGGTTACCAGCAAGCATCAAACTTGGACACAACAGCACCTGAAACAGAGGCTTTCATATTTTGAAAGGAAAGAAACTTTAATCTGTAAGAGCATGCTTTCATTAGTGTCTGTGGCACTTCCAGTAGAGAAGATAGTAACAACAGGTTTATAGACTGTAACTTCATTTTGTTTACTATTTGATTTCACACATTTAAACCTGAATTATCTCTGTAGAAGGAAAATGTTAATGTTTCTATCAGGAAGATTTCTTTATTTTGCACTCTAAGAGCGTGATTCCCTTGTTTCATGGCCTATATATCACAAACGTGACAGATGGCACTATCTGGCCTTGCATACTAAAAAGAAAGAACTGTGAAAAGATGCTGTTGGGAAATAACACCAAACATACCTTGTGCTGCTGATTTCTTACAAGATATCTTCTGGAATTTGTTCAAAACACCAGAAAAATATAAAAATCCAGATTGCAAAATACACATTTGATAATCATACATCTATTCCTGCTGACTTCGGAATCTTGTCAAAATCAGTGATTAAGGGAATATAGCTATACCCAGTACTTTGCAGCTATACATTACAATTTATTAAGTTATTAGAAGAATGACTGTATATCACATCCTCCTTAAGCATATTACTCAGTTTCAGTGGTCTACAGAGCTGTTAAACTGACAAAGCAGGCAACATAAACCTTTTACCTCTTACATTTAAAATATCATAAAGGCAGTTTTTAGAATAATTTAAACCACCATATTTATTTTCTTAGGATCTCTTTGAATCACAAGGAACTAAAATAAGTACTCTACACATACTGAAGTAATCCACATCCCAAACAACAGCTTATGACAGCAATTTCCATTTCAATATGTATAGTTTTAAGTAGGGACTGCACTGTTTGTTTCTACTTATTTTTTCATTCTGCTTTTTTAACCTTTCAAAGCAATATAATTACCACAAAGCTTTTGTACCACTAACTGTTAATTACTAGTTGTGACAAAATATGAAATATTTCTTGTCCTACAAAATTATTTTTAAAAGCAGAGTAACATATACTTAAACAGGTAGAAAATTAACTGTGCAAGTTTCTCGAGAATTATACAGTTTACCCAGTTAAAAGCAATGGCTCATCTCCTTCTAGTCAAAATACTTCCTCCTCCTCTTTCCTTTAAGACATAACTTTAGAGACATATTTCACAACTGAATAAACTAAAATTTTTATTCTATTACGTCTGCCAAGTAAAGAACTGGGTTTAGTATAACAAGTAATCAGAAACCCCAAATGTGTCATAAAGCTACCAGTTAAGCTTTACAATTAAATGCCAAAAAAAAAAAAAAAGACCAAAAAAGCACAGTTTTTTACAGTTCCTTAATTATTTCCAATGAATTGGAAGCATTTGATTTCACACCCAGTTTTATATGCATTTGACCTATGTCTCCAGATTGATATTTTCATTTAAACATTTGACAGAGGGAAGCTGGAAAACTTGCTATGAAGAGAAAGCATCGATTTGCGGCTGTTCTGCACTAATGGCTTCCCAGGGACCAATAAAATAAGTTAGAGCTAATAAAATGATGGATCTTTCACTCAGGTTAACAATGAACCTTAGCCGCCAAGTCAAGTCAGACCCATTATTCCAAATGCCACGCCAAAAAGATTCAGAAGTCACATACTTCCTATCTACCCCATATATTATTATACAAGAACATCTAAATTCCTCAGTCCTAAGAAGAAATCTGGATATGACATGGCAGTGACATCCTTACTTGGTACATTGTCCCCTCTACTGATTCCTCAGACAACACAGCTAAACATTCACAGAGGAGCTGTCCTGGGTTCAGCAGTAGCAGTCATTTTTCTCCTTCTTAGTAGCTGGTACAGTGCTGTGTTTTTGACTTTAGCTTGACAACAGTGCTGATAACATCAGTGTTTTCAGTTGTTGCTAAGCAATGCTTACTCCGATCAACTACTTTTCAGTCTCATGCTCTTCCAGGGAGGAGGGGAAGCTGGTAAGAAGCAGAGACAGGACACCTGACCCAAACTAGCCAAAGAGGTATTCCATACCACAGCACATCATGCCCAGTATATAAACTGGGGGGAGGTATCCAGAAGGGCTACATCACTGCTTGGGTCAGAGGGCAGTGAGTGGTTGTATTCTCTCCCCTTGTTATTTCCCTTATCATTATCATTATTAGTGGTAGCAGTAGTAGTTTTGTATTACACCTTAGTTACTGGACTGTTCTTATCTCAACCCATTTTAGTTACACTCTTCCAGTTCTCCTCCCCATCCCTCCAGAAGTGGGGGGGGATGGAAAAAGGAGGACGAACGAGCAAGTGGCTGCATGGTTCTGTGTTACCCGCTGGGCTTAAACCGCAACAGAAACTTTGGGACGCATGTTGATAATATAGCTCTAAGCAAGCTGAGATTTAAGATTCAGTCTCCAGCTATCATGAAAACATGATACCAAGTCAGATCAAATACATATCTTGTCCATTTTCCTATCTCAAGCAATGAATATAAAAAAGTAAAATCAGGCAAGTTGACAGAATAGCACCCAGTGATATTATAGCCTTTGAAACTTCCTGAGCTGGGTGAATCCGTATATCATTAGAAACCATCACGTGGTTTCCAAGATTATCTGAGGTTTTACCCAGAATATTTTAGCATCTATAGTATGCAAATAGCTTCACAGGTCTGCAACACAACAACTGAAGAACCATCACTTGTACCTTCTGAGCTTCATGACTACTATTTTCCTCCAAAACCTCAAATTTCTTGTACTGGAAGAGAAAGACAATCTAACCTTGCACACCTTAATCATAAAGTTGTGCATTTACAGACCTCTAGCCCAACATCTCTTAATCATCCTCTTTCTAGCTTAAACAGTTCTACTATATTCAATTTTTAACACATAGCTTCTAATCATCCTTTTATTTTAGTTTATTTGGGGCACCAATGTTGTACACAATGTTAATGATATGGATGAAAGATGAATTTATACAATGTCAAAAGTATGTTATCTGTTTCTCTAAGATTTTCCTATTAGTTCCTGGTACTTGGATTGTTTTTTGACCACTGCCAAGCACTGAGCTGCCATTATCATGGAACTAGACAACATAACAGGTAGTTGTTTTGATGGATGATCAAATAACTTCTCAAAAAAATATTAATGAAAGAAAAGGTTTAAGAAATTGGGGATAACATTCAGCTTTAGTTGCAATCATTAGCAGCCAAATAAGGATTTGAATTTCAAATATCTAAGAAGATCAGGTTTTAAAGAGACAGTATTTAAGAGATTAGCAAATACATAATTTAATTTCAGATTACAGTAAATTACTTTATTAAATGAAATTAATTTGCCAAAATGAAGGAGATACTCAACAAAATATATAGGTTTCAGGAGTAGCAAAACATGAAACCTTCAAAACAGATGAAATCTAGGAAAACCAGAGGTAATAGAACTCATTTATTGTATTTTTCCTGGAACTAATCTGTTATTTGTTACAAACTCCTGCTTTATCTATGTAGATGTTTTAATTTTTTACACTTTTCAGCAAAGAATAGTCCAGGATAAAAAGGTTAAAAGCAAGAATGAATGGAACGGATTCATCAGTATTACATGAAGTAATGTTTAGTAATAAATTAAATTATAGCTATGGGAACTTAAATAGTGTTGCAAATTTCTTTTAAATAGCAAAAATATCAGCTCTGTCAGAAATCCATCACCTGAGCTCATTCAAATCATTCTTTCTATGATTTTCACTGCAATACGTTTTCTTGAGTCAAATTTATATCCCCTGTGGAAAACTGCAGTAGCTTTAAAAAGAAATAATTAGAAGAAACTAGTAACTTACATGGTAAAGACATCAATAACATCTCCTGCAGCTCTTGTCATCTCAAAGTAGGTTTGCAGAATGTTGACGGTTCCTGAAAGTGCTTCATGTCCACAACCACAGAATAGTGCAACTCCAGCATAGAGCAGGATAGTAGCAATCAGAGATGCATAGGGAATACCTCCCAGGCATTTGATGCAGCACTCAAAGCACCCTACAAGAAAATAAAATTGTCTGTTACTGTACTATATGAAGAAAGCAGAAAGAAGCTTTTTACTCTAGAGAAATGCTTTTGAAAATTAAAGACTTCAGGCCAAAGAGAGATGACGTCAAGTATAAGAACCCATAATGTCAGAAAATCTGTGAAACAGCACAGGTTAATTCAACTTCAGAGTCTTCTCAGTTACTACTTGACCTATTAAATGTAGACATGCCATCTGATTATCATGAAACATTAAGCAGTTAATTCCTCATGCATCTTCCTGGTTTTATTCAGAGCCGGTTACAATGTCAATCCTAGGTTATACCTCTATTCAGAATTCCTGTTGCTAACCTACTGGATTACTGAGGAGAATCCTCAACAACAGGAAAAACACAGACAGAGCATATCCAGTTCAATTCCTTCCATCATCATAGCTTTATTCATTTTTCTCATCTATACAGCGCTGACAAAAGAATTGTTCCTGCCTACAGCATCATTTCTTTGCACATCACTCAAATACCTCGCAAGCATAAATGAAGACATCCACTAAAAGATACAGAATTAGAAACAGTTATAGAAGTTGAATTTTCTCTCAATATATTTTACTCTTTGTAATGTTTCTTAAGTGAGGACAATTGATCCTGTGTTATACAAGGCCAACATTTTGTCCAGCCATCAGTGTCTAAACAGTGCTCTGTACCACAGCAAACCCTTTCCCTAGCAAGGGTGCTTAACTTTCAAAAACTACCTTGCCTAGTTTGTCAAGTAGTTTCATGAATGCAACATCTCTGATTCTTCCAAATCTCATCATTCCCATATGGATTTTAATGTCGTGTAGAGCCCTTCCTATTGCCTTGTGGAAGGACAGGGAAGGCATGAAACACTGACTGAGGGAAGGCAAACATCCACGTGCCAGAAGTTTTATTTTTGACTAAGCATTACCAGCTAATGCCAAAAAGGATTTGAGATAGAAATCAAGGTGATGCCCATAATGCTTATACACACAATAGCCAGTTAAAAGTTACTTATAAAACATTCAACAGGTGAGTCACTATATTTCAATGTGCTCCAAAAACTTTACACTGTGCAAAATCACAGGCATACAAGAGACATATTAAAAGCAAAAAAGACAACAATAACCGCCCCCCCCCAAAAAAAAAAACAAACAAAACCCCTAAAACAACACAAAAAATATAAACTTTTCTCAAAGTAGATGTAGCCTCTACATGTAATTTTGTATTTTGTCCTTTAAGTTAATAAGTTCTTATTTCCTCTAGCTTGGACAACCAAAGAAGTAATTTCCTCTATCTGTTCGGACATTCATTTTCTGCTTTTAATGAACAAATAACAGTCTATCTCATATATATATGTGTGTGTGGGCACATGTTTAGCAGCTACTTATACACAAGATTCCCTGGACAGAGCAATTTAAGCAATTTTCAAATATACATGCAGTGTAGAAACCTGTATTGATATTTTGTAAATATAGGTACTACAAAAGGCATTATTAAAATTGCTGGATAATTCCTGTAAGAAAAATTGAAATGAATATACTAAGTATGTACAAGAAAAGAGACTTCAGAAGTTGGGGTAATTCCCAACTATGTGTTCTCGCTGTATAAAAATAAAAGGATGTATCTTGAGACTACTTCTGCTTAAGGACAAATCACTATTTCACAGCCAACTGTAAAATACCCAAATGCAAAATGTACTAATTCAGGTATTTAAATCGCTTTGAAAGTCTTACTAAGGAACAAATTGTACAAATCACATGCCTGCATGGTTGTAATAGATGCTTTTGGAGTAACTAATTCTTCATGCAAATAAATACAGGAAATTTCCTAAAATTCCTTCAGCCCTGTTTTCTAAGATTTTTGTTAACAATAACTATAGTTAATTCCCCAGTGTTTAAAAGCCTACACAAATACTAGAAAAGGATCCTTCACTGGATATTCTACTGTCTAAAGGCATAAAACCTAGAAATATGCATTGAAAATAATACATTGAACAAAGACTGCAGGGAAATACATAGTTGTGTGATATCAGAGTTCATCACAAAATGCCCATCACCATTTTTCAGTACAGCATAACAGCAGAAAGCCTCAGGAAACTAGTAACACTCTTGACCTGTCAGCATTATATAGAAAAGTAAAAAGAGAGGAAGAGATGACAGGAGAGTGATGAAGGATTGATGTATGAGGGCCTGTAAAGTCAAAGACAAAAAAATAAGGTAGACCTAAATATTTACAGGGACACATGGACTGTAGGAGAGTGTTTCTTGATATTGCAATAGCTTGGGGCAGGGAGGTGAAAGAGAGACTTTTCTAAAGACATCTTTTTCACTTTCTGAGACAGGTAAAGGGGAAGAGAGTTAAAGAAATAATAACATAGGAACAAAAATAACTACTAGTCTGAACTAGAATAAATTTCATTAAGGTCAAACTCACGTACAACTGCTGTATTTAATAGTCTGAGTATCAGTATCTGGAAACATCTGGCTGTGCACTACCTCCTGAAGCTCCTCTACAATGAGAGATGAGCACGCATTCAGACATTACCAACCTAAATAAACATCCAGGGTCAGTAATATTACTTTAGCTTTATTATAGTGAAATAGTGTAATACAGTAAAACAGCGTAACAGTAAAAACAGTACGATAAAGTGATAACAGATAAAATTAGAAGCAACTACTGGAACATTTCACCAGGAACAAATCCCTTTTTTTCCCCAATTATTTCCAAATTTGAAAAATAACTGAAACATATTTATAATTTGTGAAGAAAAAGTGCTTCTATTCCCCTCTCACAATAAAAATGTTCAGGCTTACAAGGCTTTGAGGGAAAATTTCAATAGTAGTATATTTTAGCAGTTGAACACTTTCACTAGTACAAAAAGTTACTGAAAAAATTTCTCCAACCACACAAAATTTTCAAATAATCAGGTATTCTTGAGGAAGGTCTTGCTCATTTATTCAGCTTTTCCGTAGGCTTACTGCCTTTCTCACTACTTACTTCATGAGTAACTCTAGAGTTATCAGTACTGTCAAATCAACTCAAAACTAAAGAAAATCAGTGAATCAGGGCTAAGATTTTAAACTGGTAACACACATCATTCATACACCACAGAAGATAATGCAGCGCACATAGCATTTACTCCAATTCTTTTCTTTCAGCTGTTTATAATGTGAAAATAGCTGTGTAATAACAGAACAATAGAAGTTCAATTTTAACTTGCACAATGACATTGAACTACCAGTGCAGAATTTGACTCAGCTGTGCAATCTGTGAGAGACAAGCAGTCATTCACAACTCTGGGCACCATCTTCACAAGACAGTTAAATACACAGCCACAGAAATAATTACTAGGAAAGATAAAAAAGATTGCATGCTCCTTTGATGTTTGTTTTCATCTGCAAATACAGGTTTCATTACTTCTCAAACAGTTCACTCTGCACAATAAGCCTGCATAATAACCATATGCAATAGAATTCAGCATTTATTGTTCTTATTTTGCTTAGGTTTACCAATATTTTCCCTTAGATAAAAATCTAGATCTGCTGGGAAGGTGTATTTTTGTATAAACCATAGGAAGTAATCCAAACCATTATACTTTTTTGTAGCTTTCAACATAAAGAATTCTATTATCATTTTCTATTTTATCATAAATCATTTCACAGAGAAAACGTAATAATGAAATACATAGAAGATGACAAGACAAGGAATGTTCTTTTACATGGATAAAATATAACTCAAAATACTGACTATATTCAATTATCTAAATAGTGCATATGAATGATGCACTACACATGTTCACTTTCAGTCAGCAAAGATCTGATAGACACAGAAATATCTCTGCTCCTCTAGTATAATTATTACTGTTTTTATTAGAAATAGTCTTGATATAGATATATGAACTTTCTGTTTTGAAAGACATATGAAGTGTTCCTTATACAGGCTACCTGCACACACCTCTCCTAGTTCATGCTGCTATTTTGGTGCGAGATTGCTAATATATCTCCAAGTGCACCAGCCAAACATAACTTAACCTTTTCTTTTCATGTGATTTCTCCTCTGCATCAAGAAGCCAAAAGACTTATACTTTGAGAAGAGGCAGAAATTGTCCTTGTGATTTACATGCTAATTATGCACACAAATTGCACCACCACAGTTATGTGAGCACTTTCTCCTCAGTGCAGATCAAGACATATAAATGACAAATAAAACACCCCATCCATTTCAGGTCAGTGCATTTAGAAAAAATGAATCTACATCTCTTGCCACATATGTCTTTGAAAGTGAAGTTTAGCTTAGGGTAGTCAAATATGAATTCAAATGTTGCATGTAATTCAAGGTGGGTTGGTTGGTTTTTTTTAAGTCATCAAATGCTCCTTGGAACAACACTAATATTCCTTACAATAGAAAATCATGCAGTGAATCGGAATGGGAAAACTATTATGACCCTTAAAGACCTGCTTTCAAATACCTATTTATTCTTAGTGAATAAATAAATTGTAAAGTTCTTTCTCTCCATGATAATTATAATTCAAAATACAGGTACACTTATTATATGGCACTGTAATATATGGCACGTATGCAAATACAATACATGACACAATATCCCTTCCTCTTTCTTATATTGATACTCTCCTCTTCTGAATAATGGATAACAGTAATATTTAAACCTGGACAAGGGCAACAGAATTTTTAGGTTTTGAACACTGCTTAAAATTGTGTATAATTTCATCCAGAGCTGTCCCTGGTTTTTACTAAGCACTTAAAACTCCAGTTCAGATTGTAATGTTTAAAAGAATTACATTTACAGAAATAAAACTTAATTCAGCAGGTTCACTAATAATCCATCATGGTACTTTCTATATCAGAAATATAATTTAGATATACATTTTCATCATATGCATTGAATAGACTTTTTCAGTTATATTCAAGGCAATTAAATCTCAATTGAAATGCCCAAATATGTTTCAAATAATTAACAGGTTTAGTGCACAGAGGTAG